TGTACTTGATCAGACCAGGGAAGAAGGGTTTATCCCTCAGGTCTTCGTAGTCTGCGCGGCAAAGAAACGAGACATGCCCATTGTCATCCAAGTACACATAAACCGAGTGATGGCACTCACGCTTCTCGAGGTGAGGAGGGCTGGCGTGGACGAGCTTTAGAGCGATGAGCTTGAAACCACGTTGCTCGAATCGGTTGATGATATTGCCGACGAGACTCCGCTGGACGCCGTCAGGCTATTATCCACGGGGTGACCGATATGGTCCTGTTCATCAACACGACGTCCACGAGAGATGATGGCGATCAAGGCGGCCATACCTTGATCATGATGTACGTGCGCTCGTGAATGGAAGACATGACAGATAGCGTATTATTCTCTTGTGGGTACACCTGGCAATGAGGAAAGAAGAAAGGTAGATGGGTCGAGGTGAAAATCAGAGCGCAGATTTTAAGCAAAAAGTTGATCATCGCTTCCAACTGCCCGATTTGGTGATAACCGACCGCACCGTCACGGCCACGGCCCGGCTTCGTCCGTAGCCATTCAATCCACCGCCGCAACCGACCATCTCCTCCACTCTCGTCACCTCAAAAACCATGCTCTTCGGTCCCCTTGGTCCGTCACTCGCTCCCTACGTGCGCTCCTCTCGCACCCTCTCGAAGTGGCTCAAGCCCATCGCAAATTGGTATGCCAACGTATCCGGCTACCGCAAAGTCGGCCTTGTTTACGACGACCTCCGTATGTCCCCCCAAATCCTCCCTCTCCCACAACCAAACTCCGCACACGCCATCCCCCATCCCATCTTGCCGTGCTGAGCCGCAAGTGAACTTCAAGTGCTCATCGTCTCCTTTCACGCAGTCGTGGAGGAACGCCCGGATGTCCAAAGGGTACGCTGGATCCCTTTTTGACGTTCCTTTGGTCGTTGAAAAGCGCCGTCGGTGACAGGCGCTGACTCGCTTGACCCCTCGCGAGGCTTACGATCGCGCGTTCCGATTCAAGCGCGCGTCCCAGGCCAGCGTTCTACACAAAGAGCTCCCCAAGTCTGAGTGGACCAACCCCGAAGAGGTCGGGCTCTCCCGTACAGCTTTTAGACATCGCTCATCCTTCTTGTCATTCCCCCTCCTGCGCTTAGGATGTTCGATATTTGAAGCCTCATGTCCTCGAAGTCGTGAAGGAGGATCAGGAAAGGCGCGTTTGGGACACTATCGACGTCGTTAGGAAGTAGAACGCTTGTTGGTGAAACTGCGCAGAAATCGGGTTGGTTGCTTGGCGGGCGTTCCAGTCGCCGGATCTCCTTTCAGTGAGGTCGGCGTCATGGACGAGAACATATACATCAAACCGTCGCTCGTACTTAGCAAAGTACACATTTGTTACGACGTTCAAGTAAGCTACTCGAAACACTAGAACAAGAAGAGTCTACACCCAGTCCGTCTTTTGATTTCTCTCAACCAGTTGGAAACTATTCTGGGCTCTAAAAGGCCTTGATCAACGGAGAGACCACCTCACCGCCCTTTGCAGCATAGAATTCAACCACCTTCTTTCCAACGATTGCGATATCTATGAAGTGGTGAGGTCCGAACAATTAACTATGTATAGAGGAAGCGTACTGTCGCCGGTGATACCAAACTTCTCGTACACCTTCTTGTAGGGACCAGATGCCCCCCATCCCGGCAGACCGTATTGTTCATGACTATACTTTGCCCAGCCAGCGGTCTGTATTTCCTGGTCAGGCCACCTACATGGTGTATACTAGATCGTTCCCATACCGAGAGCGCTTCAAGCGATAAAATTGGTGCGCCACTGCGCAGAACGCGAAGCCGGTACTCTTGTGGTTGCTGATCAAACACGAGCCAACATGGCAGCGACACAACGCGAGTTTTGATGCCTTGCGCCCTGAGTTTACCTGCGGCCTCGAGAGCGATGCTGACCTCCGATCCTGTGGCTACGATTGTCAAACTTTCGGCTTCCTCGTCATGTACGACATAGCCGCCCTTGGCGGCATCCTCGATGGTCGAGTTTTCGAGGTTTGGGAGATTCTGTCGTGAAAGGGACAGAATGGACGGCGTCCCGTAAGACTGGAGCGCGACGAGATAGGCGGCCGAGGTCTCGTTGCCATCTGCAGGACGCCAGAATGCGAGATTTGGAATTGCGCGGAAGTGAATCGCCGTCTCGATGGGCTGGTGTGTGGGACCATCCTCACCAAGTCCAATCGAATCGTGAGTCGCTGAGTAAGCAGTCATCGACGGTTGAAATTATCATTCCGGACAAGGGAGGGTGCACGTACCGACCCATATAACCCGGTGCTTGGAGAGGGCAGCGAGGCGAACCGCACCAGCGGCGTAGGACACAAAGTTAAGGAATGTCCCGACAAATGGTATGATGCCACCGTAGGCTGCAAGGCCGTTGGCAATCGCACCCATCCCGTGCTCGCGGACGCCATAGCGGATGTAAGTGCCCTTGTAACCGCCAAGTCCAGTGTCTCCAGGCTGGAAGTCAGTGGTACCTTTGACCTTAGTAAGGTTACTGCCTGTCAAGTCCGCAGAACCGCCAAGGAGATCTGGAAGGGCCGGAGTGATGGCCGTGAGGACAATCTCTGATAGCTTGCGGGAGGCCTGTGCGGGGTCGGTTGCCTTGTAGACGGGGAGCGACTTCTCCCAGCCGTCTGGAAGTCTGCCAGAAATTCGGCGAGAGAGTTCTGCATACTCGTTAGGGTAAGCCTTGGCGTAAGAACTAAGAAGAGAATTCCATTGGGCTTCGAGCTTGGACCCACGGTCGCCGACCACTGCCCAGGTTGAATATACCTCGTCTGGGATGTGGAAGGAGGTACTTGGGTCGAAGCCGACCTTGCTCTTGAGAGCAACGATATCATCCGCCTTTAGTGCTACGGAGGTGTTCAGATACTCAAACTCGTGAGGATACCCGACACTTACGAGAGCCGTGGACCCCATGTGTGCCCTGCTGTTTCGAGCCATACCCAATGGTAGTGGTCAGACGAATCAGTGTCGGCTTGTTCTTCTCGCGTCGCGCCTCGGCGATTGCGTTGTAGATACCCTCCAAGTCACTGCATTACAATTAGGCAGAGAAAACCTCGAGGAAGGCGGGTAATTTAACTGATCGCCATCTCTGACATGCAGGACTTGCCAGCCATATGCAAGATACCGCTGCTCGACATTCTCGGTGAAGGAGACAGCAGTGTCGCCATCGATGGAGATATCTAAAGACATCTTTCAATACACTTTCAAATGAAATACGGATATCAAAACTTACGATTGTCGTCCCATACCTAGGAAAGGGTCAAAGCGAGAGTCGGATAGAAACGATGGGACTTACCGCAATCAGGTTGCCCAATTGGAGGTGGCCAGCAAGACTACTTGCCTCGCTAGAAACACCTTCCATCAAGCAACCGTCCCCTAGAAACGCTATTTGATAGAGGATAAATATAATTCCGCGTATCTGTCACTGTGCACCCACCGTAGGTGTAGTTGTTGATGAGGTCAAACCCCTCTTTATTATAAACAGCCCCTAAGTGCGCCTGCGCAATGGCCAGGCCAACTGCATTGGAGATGCCCTGACCAAGGGGCCCTGTGGTGACCTCGATTCCTGCATGACATTAATATATGCGCAATATCATGAAATTATCGATTCCTCTGACCGTCAGTATGGTGAGCTTCAGGGTGTCCGGGAGTTAGTGAGTCAATCTGACGGAACGCCTTGAGATCGTCCAGAGAAAGCTTATAGCCTGCGAGATGGAGGACGATGTATTGAAGGGCGCAGCTATGTAGGGAGTAGGCATCGTTGTACGCGAGAGATCAAATAGACGTACGCGTGACTGGAAGCGAATTCATGAGACAGCAGGAAATCATGGGAAGCGACGAAGGAGAGCATACCCATTGGAAAGAACGAAACGATCGCGGTTGAACCATTTCGAGCTCTTTGGGTTAGCATTGAAAAACCTAGTTTCAAGTAGTCAGATGAAGTGAAAAGGCCGAGCACGACGACGTATAAATACCGGGTAAAGAGGACGTGGGTCACAGGGGCCATGCCCATCGGTGCACCTAGAGGGAGTACATCCCGACAACGTACTCTAACTGTGTTCTGGAAGATAAAAGAGACTAACCTGGGTGACCCGAGTTTGCTTTTCCGACAACATCCGCTGCGAGAGTGCGGATGGTGGCGATAGACGTCGCGTCGGTGGGAGACGGGACGAAATTTGACATGACGATGAAGAGAGCAGAAAACCAAAGGTCCTTGTGACGCGATCTGGCTTGGAACTTGCGATCAAGCAGAGGAGCGAACGAGGGGAGTCTGGACAAGAGATTGGTTGGGGGGACTCGGGTCGGAGCGCTGGCCTGGCGATATGATGAGTGAGCCGATCAGTTGAGTTGCGGTCCGATTTCGCCCATCGCCTCGATCGGATTCACACGCGCGACGCACATGCACCCACAATCTTCCGAAAAGAGAATCAGTAAATTCGTCCTCTGCCCTCTGCCCTGCCTTGTTGCATATCGAATCTGAATATATCGCAGCGTGCAGAGATTTTTTCGACGCCCTCGAGCTTTGTCATGCCGATTTCTGGGCCAAGTGGACAGGAGGGTGCAACCAAGCGAAGCGCGAGCTGAACAAATGCTTACACAACGACGTGCGCCCCCTCTCACCCATTTTTGTTGCTCGCTTAACCGGCTTAGTCCATGGCTCGCGCGGCGAGGAACAGGGAGGGAGCAAAGCTGCGAAATGCGCGGCGGGAGAAGGCGCTCCAAGAGCTGCATGAAAATGACTAACTTGGTGAAGATTGAAAGGCTCTTAACAAGTCTCTCAGCGTGCTCAGCTGGATGGAGAGGGGCAAGATGGGCTTGAGAGCGGTTGCAGCCACCTACACGTTAGGCATGATATGATGGTTACTTGTGCGTGGTGATGGCCTGCATGAGCGGGCGCCAGTGATGATGTTCTGCGCTGGGGCAACCCGTGTATAATGTATAATGTTAGCCAGGGGATCTTTGTGGGCCGGGCGAATGGCACAGTGGTAGCGCGCTTGCTTCGCAAGCTCATGGTAATTCCATGGACTCCGTTGCATGAGGCCGTGGGTTCAAACCCCACTTCGTCCACCAAATTTTTTATCTTGCTTGCTATGAAGGCAAGATTCCACGAAGAGATCTGATCGCCGCTCGCCCGAGGTTTCTAAAATCACAAGTCATCGGTCGAACCTTCAGAATGGTGTATATCATCTGTACTGGAGATGACTGGTGCTATTAAAATCCCCCTTTACTAGACCAAATTTCTCGCTCTCGTCTTGTCTTCGGTGGAAAACACCAACGCTAGCATTATACTGCCGACCAGGCGCTGGCGCTTCCTCAACCCGTGACCATACAATCAATCAATGCATCAATGTCACGTCAACTGGGATGCAGCGCCACTAACTCTAGCCCGCCATCGATCTGTCAAGCAAGCACCACGACAAGGAACAGAAACGGAATGCCGCCTGTACCTCTCCGGTCAGGTTCAGCCAGGAGGTAATGCCGACTTCGCTGCCGAGGGCATCTGCATGGGAGAGAGATCAGTACTGTCTCACTTGATTCAGTTATCCACCAATCACCTGCCATCAATCATCGTCATTGCATGTAGACTTTCCCTCCAAGGTGACGCACGTGTGCTGTTTCGATTTCCGCCCCTCCCCGGCGGTGCGATCGTTTGCAGCCTAGGCTGCGCTCCACTATGACAAACTGACAGTTTTCTTGGTGGCGCTTCCCTCGTGATAGTATAAGTATACTCGCCCATCTACCTTGCTCAGTCATCTTTCTCGCACCATGTCCAACTACCAGGATCGTGACAACTACGGGTCTGACACCCGGTAGGATAACCATAGCACAAAAGTTCACCGTCTGACGAGGATACAGTCAGTCAGACTCTTATGGCTCGAGCGGCAATGACTATGGCAGGGGCCAATCGGACGACTATGGTTCCGGTAACACCGACTCCTATGGCAGAGGCACCAAGCCACCTGGCGGGTATGGCTCCTCGAACGACAATAGCTATGGTTCTGGTCCCACCGACTCATACGGCAGTGGCACCAAGCCGCCTGGCAGCTACGGCTCTTCGAACAAAGATAGTTATGGTTCCGGAAACGACGATTCATACGGCGGTTCCAATCAGAAAAGCGGCTACGGCTCAGGCGAGCAACGCGACTATGGTTCTGGTCCTACCGACTCATACGGCAGTGGCAACAAGCCCCCTGGTAGTTATGGCTCTTCGAACAAGGATAGTTATGGTTCCGGGAACAACGATTCGTACGGCAGTTCCAATACCCAAAGCGGCTACGGCTCAAGCGGGCAACGCGACTATGCTTCTGGTCCCACCGACTCCTACGGCAGTGGCAACAAGCCGCCCGGTAGCTATGGCTCTTCGAACAAGGATAATTATGGTTCCGGGAACAACGATTCGTACGGCAGTTCCAATACCCAAAGCGGCTACGGCTCAAGCGGGCAACGCGACTATGCTTCTGGTCCCACCGACTCATACGGCAGTGGCAACAAGCCTCCTGGAAACTACGGCTCCTCGAACGATAATAACTATGGTTCCGGAAACAACGATTCATACGGCAGTGGCAACAAGCCTCCTGGAAACTACGGCTCCTCGAACGATAATAACTATGGTTCTGGAAACAACGATTCATACGGCAGTGGAAACCCGTCTGGTAACAAGAACAGCTATGGATCTACTGGCGGCCAAGACTACGTCGACAAGGGTCTCGGTTTCGCGGCGCAGAAAGCCGGGATTAACTTGGTATGTGTGGTCGTCATGGTGCATTCTGTACAGAGTCGTGATTATGTGGTCGCAGGACGAGAACACTTCAAAGAAGATTGGCGAAGGGATCCGGGAGGGTCTTTCCAGGTTTGGTGGAGGACGTAAGTCAACGCAAGATCTGAACTGAATTGAATCATGCCGACGTTTCTGTAGATTTTTGAACTATAGCATCGACCGGAATCGACAATAACTTGAAGGAATTTATTGTATGTAACGACTGGATTACGAACCGTGAAGAAGGGGGGTCTGTACTTTTGTCGCCATCAGAACGGGAAATAAGCACATTCGATTTTTCGATCAACGGTCATGATGACCACGCGAGATTATGACCAGGTATTCATCATCAAATCATGGATATGCACCGATCGATGGATTACAGAAACACCTCGTGGTCGTGGGACTTGGCACGCGCATTAGTCCTCGCGCATCACTTCCTCGTTCTCGTCAAGGGTCTTGACAGAATGACGAGCCTGAGGATGGTCACTTGTTCCCCTCCTGTATCTTTCAAACTGCATTCCCTTCATGAGTTACCCGCTTCGGGTGCGACACCCATACGCCGCGAAAAGAAATGCCGCTGTACTACGCCCGCCGACATGGGGATGTGGCGCTTGAGAGTTGCGACATGCGGAGACAACGTGTCAATGTTGGAGTATAGCTGGGATCAGAAGTGCCGTCGTGAAAATCAATCTAGTAGCAGGTGAGGTATGGACGCCCAATCATATGATCGGGTTTAGGGGTCATGTTGGAGTTGGATGAAGGTACTGGCGCACTTTAGCGGTTGTGGAACAGCCGCACGGACGCGCCAGGCTCGGTTGGAGTAAAATGAACGCAGTGGCGTCTACGTGCCTTATTCGTGGGGTTTGTTGGAGACGCATGGGACCAATTTACAAGGTTCCAGGCTCACAACAGTGATGTTAAGAGATCGCGTACTCGTCGCAGAAGCCGATGGTCTGGATGCAGAGAATCTTGTGTTCCTGATGCCGGATTTCATCGTGGATGTGAAGTGACGTCAGGGGCTCGTTGAGTACATATAAACGATCATCTACATCTACCCACCCAGTCCCCACCATCATAATCAACCATGGCTCTTTCAAGGGTGTGTTTAATTTCTTCCTCACGTCGATTCTTCTTGAGCCCATCTCCCATAGCACGTCAATACAGAGCACATTCTCAAAGAGTCTAGGGTAGTAGTACTAGGCAATCTTCCCTCTGCAATGGTCTTTCTAATTTTCTCTAGGATAAGGAAACTAAGCCGCGATCCGTGCATCACTTGACAAATTCTAACCAAGACACTGTCCATCATTCAACCGGAGCCCGGTACGGCTCCCGTTATGGCACCTCATCTGTCCCGAAGTACAAAATACCCTCTGACGCATGTCGTTTTCCTCCATGTTTTCCCGAATAATTCCAACTGACGCTATCACAGGGTATCGATGCAGAGACCGCGTATCAGATTATTCACGACGAGCTTTCCCTCGACGGTTCGCCACTGTTGAATCTGGCTTCTTTCGTGCAGACCTGGATGCCCCCCGCTGCCGATAAACTTATGCTGGAGAATATCTCGAAGAATTTAATTGATCAGGATGAATACCCCATGACACAGGACATTCATACTCGCTGTGAGTAATTCAGGTCCTTTCATACACCGTTGACACTTCTTCACAGGCATCTCCATCTTGGCCGAGCTTTGGAATGCACCCTCGCATCACCATGCCGTGGGCACTGCAACTACTGGCTCTTCAGAGGCAATCCAGCTCGGCGGCCTGGCTATGAAGCGTATCTGGCAAGAGAAACGTAAAGCTGCTGGCAAATCCATTCACGAGCCCGGTCCGAACATTGTCATGGGTGCTAACGCTCAGGTTGCCCTCGAGAAATTTGCTCGCTACTTTGATGTAGAGACACGACTTGTTCCCATCTCCGTTGAGAGCAAGTATAGGCTTGATCCGAAGAAAGCCTTGGAATACATCGATGAGAATACCATCGGCATCTATGTCATCCTCGGCAGTACGAATGCTCACAGCTCTGGGTTCATACATTCTCTAACTTTCACACACAGGCACGTATACCGGTCATTATGAACCGGTGAAGGAAATGGCAGACTTGCTAGATGAGTATGAGAAGAAGACGGGTATCTCTGTTCCGATCCATGGTGTGTGCCTAGTCCTTGTGATTAACCTATACCCATAAACCACGATTGCAGTGGATGGCGCATCTGGGGGATTTGTCGCTCCCTTCGCCACCCCCAAGCTTGAATGGGATTTCCGAATTCCGCGTGTTGTCTCCATCAACACATCGGGACACAAATTCGGCCTAGCATACGTGGGGGTGGGCTGGGTCATCTGGCGTGCAGCACAGTACCTTCCAAAAGACCTCATTTTTGAGCTCCATTATCTTGGTTCCGTGGAGTACTCATTCTCGCTGAACTTCTCACGGCCTGCACACCCAATCATAGCTCAGTATTTCAACTTCCTCCATCTCGGGTTCCATGGCTACCGCGACGTTGCTCTGGCGGATCTTAAGAATGCGCGCACTCTCTCTCGAGCCCTTGAGAAGACTGGCTTCTTTACTGTGCTAAGTGACATCCACCGTCCAGCAGGGCATATTGGGGGCGGCTCCACAACCTCTGCTCACCCGGTGAACGATGGGAATGTCGAGGTTCGAGCCTCATATCGCAGATACCGAGTTCATTCTCTAACTTAGCACAGCATTACGAACCCGGGCTTCCTGTCGTAGCCTTCCGTTTCTCGGACGAGTTTCAGAAGAAATATCCAGACATTCGGCAGATGTGGATCCAGACCCTCCTGCGCGCGAAGGGATGGTGCGTGGTCGTGTTAGCGTTGCTCCCAGTGTTACCCACCGGCATATTCAGGATTGTACCAAATTATGACCTCGCACCTGACCTAGGCCAAATCGACATTCTGCGCGTTGTCGTGAAAGAGAATTTTACGGAGGCACTTTTGGACCGTCTTGTTGCTGATATCGTATGTGTTCACTTCTTTACGACCATATGTACGTTCACCACGGTCGGTAGGTCGAGATCACGGAGAGACTCATCAAGCAGGACTCTCCAGCACATGCGCTGGCTACGCTTGGTTTTGGTTCAACACCGAACTCGCATGAAAGAGCACATGGTCGAGTGGAGGAAGTGGAGGGCAAGGAGAAGTCATCTGGCACTTACTCGAAGCCCTGTTAAAAAGTATATCGCCAGGGGATAGCGGGGGATAGCGGGTGCTTACGCAGTTCAGGCTAAATGTTGTACGAGAAAGGGTGAAGTACAAAAGTTGTAGTAGTGTCGGCGTAAAAG